GGCTTTTAGAGATGCATTTTATGCCTTGTGTCGCTTAGTTTTTCCAAGTCCAACATGATTCTGCCCAGCTTTTGCAGTAGATTCGTTTTCCTTTGCCAGCCTGTGTTGCCACTGAGGAGGAATAGGTAGAAATAATGAACTGCTGTCATAAGATCACTTCTTCAACCAGCTTCACTCAGTGCAGCACTGTCTTAAAAGTTGGCAAAAGTGCCATGTGAATGTTTGGTTAATGTTTTTAAGGATTTCCTATTTTAAGAAAAACTTTTGAAAATCTGTATTTCAAAATGAAAATTTTTTTTTTAAATGTTAAAGGGAAGTGGTGAGATAGTTAGGATTTTTATCATAACCCTGAAACAAACTAGAAAATAGGAAACTGTTTGAATTGGATCCATATATTCATCATCTTTAAATATCTCAATTTAAAAAAAAAAACCACAACAAAACAAACCCTGAAAATCTTTGCAATATCATTTTCAAGTGGAAAATAGTCTGGAAAAAAACCCAACGCTTTGAAATGGCAAAGCTACAACTGAAAAATGAGAGTTGAAACACGCCATTTGGTAGGTCCTGACTCATTAAAAGCTGGAAACTTTTGGAGGGTTGGCAGGGCATATATCAAAAGAAGTAACTGTTGGTTGTTCTACTCGGTCTTTGCTGTTTACCATGGGGTGGTTTACATGACGTATAGAATCATAGAATGATTTGGGTAGGAAGGGACCTTAAAGATCATCTAGTTTCAAACCCCTGCCATGGGCAGGGAAACCTTCCAGTAGACCAGGTTGTTCCAAGTGTCATCCAACCTGGCCTGGAACACTTCCAGGGATGGGGCATTCACAACTTCTCTGGGCAACCTGTTCCAGTGTTTCATCACCCCAATGTAAAAAATTTCTTCCTTATATTTAATCTAAATCTACCCTCTTTCAATTTAAAGCCATTGCCCCTTGTCCTATCACTATGTGCCCTTGTAAAAGTCCCTCTCCAGCTTTCCTGTAGGCCACCCTTTAACTACTGGAAAGCTGCTGGAAGGTCTCCCCAGAGCCTTCTCTTCTCCACGCTCAACAACCCCAACTCTCTCAGCCCGTCTTCATAGGAGAGGTGCTCCAGCCCTCGGATAAAGTAGGTAGGAAGTGTGTTCACTGCTGGATGTTGAGTTGTTGGGAGGCCGTTCCAAAGAAGGCTGAGTCCTTCCGACAGCTGTGCTACCGAAGAGGAGCTGTTCTTGCTTATCCCACTTCTCACATATGCTTCAGTTGCCCTGTTATCGATGCTTGTCTTACCTCTGTGAGCCTGTTTAGCTATAACTGAATTAGATTATAAGCTCTTGGGTTTTTTTTCCTGGATTTTTTTTTTTATTAGTTTACGGAGCTTGAGCTGGCTGGCTGAATGTTGAAGCTGGTGTGCTGAAGGGGTGGGCCTGCCTGGCTGGCAGTGAGAGAGAATGAACTGCTGCTTTCAGTAGCAGTGAGCTATTACATGAGCTCATCTGTAAAACCTCTCCCTTAGAGATTAACTTGCTGATAGGAAAAAAAGGGAGTGAACTGTGTATATAAAAAAATTTTACTCTTCAATATAAATCAATATAAATGTTGTCAAGAGTTGAGTAGTAAGAAAGAGTTTGTTCTCATCGAAGAATGATGCCAAAGCCAAAAGAGTGTTTCAGATTTTCAAATTCTCTCAACTTTAGCTAGAACTGGAAACAGACTTTCAGTAACAGTGGTGATATGGTCATGCTGATAAATCCTAGACTTTACAACACTGAAATTTAAAAGAAAAATCAAAACAGTGAAGCGGATGCTTGAGCTTAACATAAAAGCTGCATCTTTCTGTGGTGTCATTTTTCCTCCAGTTGGCAATTTAAAGAGAACTGAAGCCCTTCAGACTTGCCGACATGTCTCTAAATCTAGCCTTTTAAATTTACCACTGTAACCCAAAAGTGGATGCTGAAATCCATAAAGTTGCACTGCAGTCTTACAGCTATTTATTCAGGGAAGCAGGAAGTTTTACTTTTTATGTCTAAAAGCAAAACAACATTTTGTTCAATTTGCGAACAAAAATTTACATTTACAAAATGCAAAGGAGAGGAGAGAAATGAGGTCTTTGCTGTTTGTTCAGACAATGAAGATGAGTGAGGGAAGGAAGAAGAAGGAAAGTTTACAGGATTAAACCATCCTAAAAATCTGATATATGGGAGTTGTGCGTGTCTGTAAATATTAATTGTGATCGAATAGGCATTTAAAATATCTGAGTGCATGGTGAAAGGCATGGTGAAAGTCAGGCATCTGCAACTGACTTCAGCTTAATAAATAAATAGTTTATGGCAGCTAATGCGTTCTATAATATCTGAAGTGTGTGTATGGTTAGCTGTATACTCTTATAAATCAAATTTATAGGCGTTTTGGTTTAGCATGGAATTTGTATCCACTCTAGTTTCAGTGCAATAATTACAGTAGCTTAATTTTAATGAAAGTAGGCAGTATTTTTTATTCTTCACTTCCATGGAGTCAGTTGTTGAGATGAAGATGTAATAGTAAAGAGGCTATTAATATTCTCATGCTCTTGTAGCCAAAACCTTTGGAAACTATTCAGAGAAACAGTGGGAAAGGTTACGTAACATGTATTTAAAGGGTTAAGGAAGAAAAAAACAGTAGGCTGTTGCCAAGTTAGTATGGGATGAAATCCTAGTCCGTGTCAATTTAAGTTAATTTGCTTTGTCAGTTGCTTTCAGCTATGAATTGTTGGAAGTAGGCTACCCTAGTTCCCATGCAGTGTATTTCTTGTAGCATAGGGAAGTGCATGGCTATAGCATTAACCGATGAAGAACCGATGACTCCATGGTGTCACTGAAATTAAACCTCTTGCACCAGTCAATTGACTGCATAGGTTTTTTTGCAAGGCTTCAGGATTGTTATTCTTTGATCTCCGAAACAAGATGACTTGTTTATTTTAAAATAAGCTATTTCTCTCTATTCAGTAGAAGTAAGAAATACTTTTGCTTGGGTCATTTGCTAAGCTTTTAGAAATGAGAATTGATGAATTATTGTAACTTACAACACACAAAAAAATTACTGAATCCTAAACCCCGAAATACTCGTTTTTGGTTCAGCTACATGCGTGGTGGCTAAAAGCAGTTCAACATGTTTTGCTTTGTTGGCTGTTAAACATAGGCTTATGCCCTGTTAGCCTCCTACTTCTGGCGTATTTTTAATCAGAAAGTTTAATTTATTCAACTTACTGAGTCTCCTATTTGTAATTTATCATTTAATTTAAAAGCTAAAGAGAAAAATTGCCTTAATGCTGGAATATTTATCACACAAAGATGCTGTGTGGCTGATGTTAGGGAGTAGGATAGCATCTTCATGCTGAGTTATCTCTTGCAATTACAGTTGTGCTGTAATATGCCTTGTGAGTGAATTTATATTGTGAACCTATATGGTTAAAGGAGTGCTGCAGTGCATTTCAGATCATTTTTTGTTGCTGTTGTTTATGACTTTAGTCTTAATGTCTAAGAGTTGTGTTAGTTTTAGACGTTTGTCTTGAGTCTGCATTTGGCCCTAAGTGTTACGCAGCTCTGTTGATGCAAAACTGGAGATAGATAGCAGTGAAAAGTTGCACAGATCAGCTTTGAGAGAGATTAGTATGAAAAGAGTATATGTTTCTTCATGTTTCTTAAGCAATTTTAAATTACTTTGTGTGTGTGAGCGTTCCCTCTGAAGTTAACGGTGTTCATTACTGTTTGTCTGCTGAATTCAGTACAAATAAGACTTCCTCTACACCAATTAGAGACATGGAAGTAGTCACACAAATCTGCTTTTCACAGGAACTTCTTTAGTGTGAGTCATGCAGAGCAGCGTAAAGAGGTAAAAGCTCTTTTGGTGTGTCCTGTGTGATTGCTCATTCTGTGTCTCTGCCAGTGCATTCTTTCTTCTGACAGTGATGACTGATTCAAAAAATGCCGTTGACAGAAATTCAGTTTAAACTTCATTGAGATTTATGGATTTATTAGTATAAATTTGAAGGTATCTTTAACTGGTTATGGATAGAGAATATTTGTTGAGTTTGGGCCAGAAATGTAAGATTTGTTGTTTATTTGTTTTTATTTTTTTTTTTTTTTAAGAATGCAACACTGAGTTTTTGTTTTTAAAGGTTTTTGTAAGTCTTTTATGTCACATCTTCTGCTGAGTAGCAGCTTTTCACCTCCTGTTGCCTCTTCTGGTTTCTGCTTTCTTCTTTTCAGCATTTTCAAGCTCAAATTCTTCATCTAAAGATTCTTGATTAGAATTGTGTGTTGTGATTTATCTGATGAGCAGAGTTGTAGAAGGCAGTTAGAAGCAGTGTAACCAGAATGACCACATCTGCCTCTTCATACATTGTCACGGATGTTTTTCTGTCTCTTTAGTGTTTTTAGTTAAATATTTGATAAAATTACGTGTCACAAGTCAACTAAAGACATGACTGTTTTGTGGCCCAACACTGCTGAGGAACAGCAGTTTCTGTTGTGCTTCCTAATGGCTATCTCTGGCTTAAAACCCTCTTTGTCTCTTTGGACTGGAACACAGGAGCTGGCAAGCTGCTCCGTGCTGGAATGAGTGGTGCTCAGCTGGCTCCGTCTCCCTGTGACCACACTGGTGCCCCTGCTTCATTTATGTTCTCACCTTTCAATAGTAGTTCCAGAGTAATTGGTTGGTATCAGCTGCAAAACCATCTTCCTTCGGAGTTTATGTGCAGCAGAGCGTGTTAGAACCATGCTGGAGGCAGACCAAAGGCATGTCCAGCCTGTCCTTTCGCTTCACGCAAACTTTACATTTCTCGTAAATTACAGGAGCAAATCCTCCTGTAATGAATTGATGGTTTGGAAATGCAGGCTTCTTAAAGAATTAGAACCTGACTTCAGTTCTCTCAACATGGTGGTTATGGGTGCGTGTGTGTATACACATGCATCAAAATACAGCTCAGTTGTCCTCGTGTACGTATACATACCTTTGTGTATCTTTTTCTTAAAGATATGGACGTTGGTGGTTGGTTACCTGCTGATGGTTTCATTCAAGTGGAATATAAGCACTGAACGTTACTTGAAAGCAGTCTCTGTCCCTGTCTGGATTATGCTGCTCTTTCACTTAGGTGAGTAACAAGAAGTTATTATTCTAATGTGTCCACTGGGATTCTGTTGTCTTGCCAGCAAAGCTACTCGCTTACTCTTCTGCTAAATATTTATAATGGAGCCTTAGCTGAGATGCAGGCTGTTTTGTCTGCTCAGTGATTCTGGCTGCATGTAGCCAGCAGGGAGTGTGGGAGTAGGGAATGAGAAGGCATCAAGATGCTGGGCAACATGTGTGTTCCATTCCTTCTCGGTTTGTACTTCCCATGGTTTCCCTTATTTGGCTCACAGACCTGGTAACTGACTCCCTGACAGTGGGGAAGGGCTGGGATCACATGTGGGTGGATTTAGATTTTCACTTGCAATGGTTTTTAATATTCTTATTTTCTTGAAAGCCTGCCATTAACCAAGGCTGAAGCTGTAAAATGTGTTTAATAGTAGTAATAGAAGCAAAAAAAAAAAAATTTCTACCAGTAGCCAACAAGCATGTTGATATGGTATCAACAATATCAAATAAATTTGCCAGTAATCTGTTAATCTATGTAATCTGTTAATACAAATATGAGTTTATAGTAATCTGTTAGTATTAGATTTATTTTACATATTTGATGTGATAATATAATCTGATAATTTATTATATCAGAGTTTATGTTGGAAATGTAATGCAAATACTAGAAGACTCGTGTTGGAAGGTTTCACAGTGTACTTCATGATTTACTTTGCTTTAGCAGCAGGTTTCAAGGTTTCTTCTGACCGTATGGGGACGCTTTCATGAGGTTTTGAGCTACACATAGTGTCTCTGCATTTGCTTACATTTTAACAGTCTTGTATTTGATGGAAGTACTAGCTGAAAAGCCAAAACCCAAGAAAGTACTACTTGAAGCCACTATGTGGAGATCTAACATAAATATAGATTATTTTTTTTTAGGCAACTTGAACTGCTTCTGATATTGAAAATGTTTTTATTTTACGTGTATTTTCATGTTATTTTGCATGCTGTTTTTAAAATTGTTCTCTATATCAGCGTAGTTTGAAGTCTCTGAAGTTAGGAATGGTGGCCACTTGGTTTATTTGTTGAGAAGCTTGTTCACCTGGTTTTTTCTGTTCTTCCTTTCCATGAATGTAGAAAACTTGTTTGCTTTATGACACTTCTTAGTCTCTGCCCAGATTGTTTTTGGTTGATGTGGTGCTTTTCTTGGTTTTGCAAAATGCAGAGTTTATTAATGATGTAATTTTTCTTGTAAAAAAAAAAAAAACCTAAACAACACCCTGTCTCTTTCAGCTTCTGTGGCAGGTTCCTGGAAGATTCCTGTGTTTCTGGTTGTAGTTTTTCTGATGACTGTAGGCGTGTTGCACGAACAGCAGAGTGGAAAGGAGTCATCTGGTAAGGAACGAGTCACTATTTCTTTTACTGTTGAAGGCAAAAGCTCTATAAAGTCAAGTGAAAGAATCTGGACCATATTACTGCAAAATTCAGTATCATACAGATTGCAAGAATTTACTGTAAGATTTTTATTACGTTTGTTTCAAAGTGGTTTATGCATGTCAAAGTGAATCTTTGATTCCTCACAGAAAATCATGGCAATGGACTGATGTTTCTTTTCCACGGCAAGGTAGTGACTCTCATTATCATGCCTGATTGCTTAAGTTTACAGGTTCCTATATGTAGTTCCAAGCATAAAGGGAGCCCAGGAAATCTGAAATCGGAAGCTAATTTTGAAAGAAATGCACAATATGGGTTTAGTAGCTCCTATAATGAGTGTGAGAGAAACTGAGACATCTCCATCCAGCAAGTTTCTTATATCCAGTCATTAGTTTTTAAGATACCAGTTTCTTAAAACTATGGTTTGTGTTTAGATTGAGAAAAACAGGTTTTGCCTGTTGTGAGTCAGTTTTGCGTAAAAGCAATGTCAGGTGTTCCTTTCTAGTACTAGCTGGATGATTATTTTGGGAAACTTTTTTTCTGTTTTGCTGTTCTAGTTCTCTTGCAAGTCGTCATAATCTCGATTAGTAAAATTGATTATCTGGTATAGAGATTTTTAGATTAATCAGACTGCCAGCAACTGTGAATGACTTGGTCGGTAGCAGTTCATTAGCAAGGAAGGTGCTAAGCAAGTAACGGGTTTTGTATTTTGGCTCCAGGTGTGTTGTAGTACTAAAATTGATAGCACTCGTTCCTGTTTGATCACATGGACTACATATAATACAGATTAAAAATTAACAGCATCTATCCATATAATTTCTGTTGCTTGACAGCTTTGGTGGATATTGAGCAACAAATAAAACATTTTAAGACTTAAGCTTTTGTTTCTTTACATACACATATATATTTTACAGGGGCGGAGCTTCCTGGTCAGATGATTTCCATCGCTGCTTCAACAATTGCCATGGCAATTTCAATGACAGAAGATGAGTCCAATAATGAACGTTCCTCACAACCCTCAGGTGACTGAATACTCTGTAAGAAAGCATTTGAATTTGCTCTGAAGGCATGACATTGGAGGGAATTGAGAACAAATTTCAAAGTAGTCTCTCTCCTCTTCATTCTGTCCAAAATAACACATTTATATATAAAACAAGTTTATCTGTTTTTAAAAAGTTGTGAAGGCAATAATATAAAAGCTGTCTTTCAAATGATGGTTTACATAGGTGTCTGTACATTTAGAAGGCCTTACTAGAAGACATGTTTTTTTTTTCCCAAATGTAGTTTTTTCCTAGTCTTTATTATTAATTTTTTAATTTTCCCTAGCTGCCTTTTGATTTGTTGGCAGTTACAAGATATAACTGGATTTCTGGACCAGGTACAAACAGACTGGAATGATTTTTGTGTATGTCACAGTGACAAAAAAACCTTTGTTCTCTGTTTAACTATGGCATGCTCAAAGTCTTTCCTGTAGTGAGGTTACTTGACACTGTAGCTTGAGTCACAATACTTTCGCTTGCAATAACACAAATAGAAATCTGTAAGAAATGACTTGAAGAGTTGGTGTTTAGATGTCCATCGGTGGTTTTGAACCTTACTATCGTTTTTCTGGATAGGCCTTTGAGGGAATGTGATACTAGAAAAAATAAGCAATTAGGGAGATCTCTGGAAATTGAAAGATTTCATCCGTTTCTCAGAAGCAGACAAAACGGGTCATTCAGTTTGAGAGAATGTGAACTTCCAAAACTTCATTTTCAAATTGGCTGTGTTTAAGAGTCATCTGCTTCAAGAGAGTATATTCTTAATATTGTCTGTAATGTGTAAATTGTACTCCAGAGGAGGAAGCATAGTGATTGTGCAGAAGAGAATGCTTTCAGCGTGTGGTTTTAAAAACTTCTGTCTAAAGGCTTCCATTTGTGAAACTGAAAAGTTACTTCAGCCACCAGGTGAAATGGTGTAGAACAAACTCTTTGGAATTGATGAAATGTAAACGTGTTTCCTGATTTTAAATATGACAATGTAAGCTGTGCCTGAAAACATGCTTCATTTTTAGATGCAAAAAGGACAGCTTTAGGCAACTTACTCTTTTGTTATCTTTTTTTCCCACGTTTTACGTGACTATCATCAAAATAAATATAGAACCCTATGGACGTATGTTCTGAAATTTGAGAACAGAGCATCATGGTGACAGTTCTTTTATGTCGCTGTCACTAGTCTTTAATTTTGAAAATGAGATGGATTTTTTTAGCTGGATTTTGAACATCTGGTCAAGCAACAGTCTTCCACAAATGTGCTATGTAAGTGGTTGTGTTCTTGTTTGTTGCATTTTTTTAACTTATACACCAGTTTTAATTTTTCCTCTTCTTTAAAGTTTTTTTTTCTGTTTTCAAGCTGTGACCTCTCTTGGCCAAAAGAAAACTACAGCAGTTTTACAAAGATGTCTTTTGTAATGAATGTTTTTTGACTTATTTTCTTGAGACAGTTAATTAGATGTTTTTTTGTCAGGAAAAGAACAAATTTAGAATTTCCTGTTTATTTCTAACAATAGTTCAAATAATTTTTCAACAATCTATTGGGGATTGGTGTACTATTCTGTGATATGTGTTAAGCATCCTTTTGGTTATCTTTGGTTTGCACCTTCTGTGTGAATCGTGATGAAACATTATTCTTGTGCAGCAAAAGATTTTAGCTGCAGAGTTAAGAAACTGCAACTCTTCTGGTTTTCCTCTGCAGTGATTTTTGGATGTTTTGTTACTTTGCCTTGGAACTTGTAATGTAACACACATCTATTTTATGAAAAGTGTAAGATTTTGAAAGTTTTCACATCTTCAGCCAGGGGTATAGCAGTCTTCAGGACAAGATCTTCCTTATATCTATTCTAAATATGTCAGTGGTTGTCAAGGTTGATTAATTGTCAGTAGCAATAACAATGCTTAGACTGTATTACATCAGTTATAGAACAGTCAATGTGTCATGTTTTTACTGTTCTCCTTAGGCTTAAATTTGTTCATGAAAAAACAAAAGGAGGAATAAGCTGTGTTGATTTTTATAGGTTTTTCTGAACACTCATGTGTTTCTTTATTTTGTTGTTGAATACTGGTATTTAGAGTTGGAGGTGAGGAGTTTAATGATACCAGTGCACATGGTCTAACTTGTCCTTCCTGGTGTCCCAAGAAATTCCAGAGCATACAGCAAATGAGAAGCCCACAACTTAAGAAGCAGATACAACTGCAGTATTTCGTTAGCTGCCTTGTAGGCAAGATTCTTTTGCCCTGTTGGCTTTGAATATGATGGATGCTGAAGTCCTTAAATATAGTCATACCTCTTACCCTCCCTTCTCTGCCCCTTCTTCTTTGCTTTCTTAAAAAAAATAATCCTTTTCTCTTGAAATTACAGAAAGATATGGTTATTCATGAAGGGGTACCTTCATCCTGGTGTTCTGAAAGACTTTTTCATTAATAATAATAATAAAATCACTGTTTCATTTAACTCTGAAGTTTTTATTCTGAACTCTACTCCATAGAGATACAGACACTTGCCTTCCTGCTTATGCTGCTTTTCCTTTTCCTTTTGTTTAAGGAAGAGGAAGAGAATAATTCAAAATGCTACGCCAGCAAGAAGTTGACTTGACAGAGAATATATTGTGTAAAGAAAATAATATGTCTTAAGACAGTCTGGAAAATCGACTTTTGCTGTTTTTATTATATTCAAATAAATACCATATGTTCTGATTTTGCTAGAATTCTTTACTGGGCGTTACGTTAGCCATTTGGGAAAGACTGTCATGCTTTCATTAGTTAGAAGATAGAAAGATGTTTTTCAGGTTTCATCTCTAAAAATATTGCGAAGCACAATAAATGGGGTTTTAGATCCTGAAATTACTCTAAATCTATATTCTGGTAGTCCTTTTTTTTGTATTTGTGTTGACAAGGCACTCATGCCTTTGTTTGCAGATCATATCTTGCCAACAAAATGTGACTTTTTTCATTTGCAAAGTTTGATGTTTTTTATTCAGTGGATCAGCTCTGTGAACTGGCTTACAATACACTCATCTGAATGGCAGTTTTGATGCTAAGGAGTTTGTGAGTTTGTCATGGAGAGAGCACTGAGTTATTGACAGTGCCAATTTAGTTTGGCTTAAAGTGCTGCAGAACTACATTCTGAAAAAGCTTTCCTGTCTTGGGATCCCCTAGGAGTTTTTAGTCTTTTCTTTTTTTTAATTCTTTTTTTTTTTTGTTTTCCCATGTCAGTGCTTTCCAATCTATGTTTTGCATTCTGTGTATAGTCTGCTGAAGTTAATAGGAAACTAGAAGAGAATGAGGCACTTTAATTGGTACTACTCTTAGCATTACTGTTGCTGTTATTTAATTAAGGTTTTCTTCATTGCAAAAATATGTTGATCAAATTTTTAATTACCAAAAGAAAGAGTATTCTTTTTTCTTTTATAAAGAACTACTACTACTAAGAGCTTTTGGGGCAAAAAACGTCGGATAGCTTTAATCTTGAGGCATAGACTTCAGCATATTAAATTCCTTAATTTTTTCTTTTAATTTTTAGCACTTACTTCCCTTTGGTAAATATTTGAGTTTCTGCTTGTTGTTATGTTACTCCTTAATTTTATTATATTAATCTTGGAGCAAAAAAGTAAAAAGAAAAGTGTTCAGTTGAATTGATAGGGGAGAATTCTCAGTTACAGATACACTGCTTTCAAATTTATGTTCCTTTAGTGCGTTGTAAGCTGGATCCATTTGTTTCTATTAGTACTCTTCTGCTTAGTTAAAAATAGACTGAGAAGTACAGGGGAATGGTAGACCCTCTATTTCTTTTGACAAAAACACTTTATCTTTTTAGGAAAGCTTCTGATTACGGGTGGCTTTCTCTCCCCTTACGAAAATTTAACTCGTGTCTTTTTCTCCAAAGTGTAGTTTGTATGATAGAACATGCCCTGTGAGCCATGAACTGATTTGCCAAGAAGCACTCCACCTGAAGCTTCTGCTGTATTTAGCTGCTTGCAGGGTTCTTTCTTGCAGGTTGCATGCTGTAATTCCTCTGGGAATATTCTGAAGTTCTACCGAATATGTTACCAGCAACCAGCTGATGTTTCTGTCATAATCTCAGTGTCTACCAATGGGGAGAATCAACAGATCTGCCTTATTGTATTAGTGTGGTGGGGAAGTGTTTGAGCTCAAAAATAGTTCCCCTTACTTGTAGAACACCAGTGCAGATTTCTACAACAAAAGAAGAGTGTTCATCCAGTGTGCGAGGCTGCAGAATTTGTCACTTACTACTACTGTACACATATGACAAATCTGTCCTGTCTTTGTGTACATTCTAGCTGTCAAGCTTTAGGCTAGGAATGGCTTTAGTGGCACATTGCAGCTAAAACTGCATGTGTGGAACATGAGTTGTTGGACTGGTATGCATGTAGTATATCGTAGCGCAGTTTTTCTTCGTGGGAGGAAGGTGGTTGGTATTGATGTGACACAAGTCCAGTGAAAGAGTTGTGGTTGTTGCTTACCTGCTGCAGTATGTACCAACCTAACAAATTGCCTTTTACTCTTCAGCATAGAGTAACTTTTCAGGTTTTCTTGTGTGTGTGTTCTTCCACCATGGCTGCAAATTTTTCTCAAGTTATGGCATGTGGGAGATGTGTGCATTTCGCCACCAGCATGGGACCTCAGTAAAAGTTAATACTGGTGTTCTCAGGAAGAGATTCTACATATAGCGACTGAAGATGTATTTGATGTCACCCATACTAGTCTGATAATAGGCAGATGTACCAACTAAAAAGTTAAATAAATAAATTACTGTGTTCTGGATACAAGAATTTTAATTTGGACATAATATTTTTGCCTCAAATTATTGACTGTTTATTTATAAGTGCCTGTAACACATCAGTTCACATTTTTTAATTGGATTTCTGTTTACTAACTTACAAATGAGAGAATGACAACATTTATTACCCAATAATTTATGCTTGCTGTTGTTACTAAAATACGTTACACAAGCAAGTAATTTAGGATCACAGTGTGAGTGCTATGTTTGTGAGTTTTCAGGAAAAGAAAAAGTGTAGTAAGAAATTTGTAAGGTACAAGCTTTCTCTTCAATATATGATGTATTTTTTTGTTTTGTTTAAATGAGCTTTCAGCAAATCTAAAGTTTCTTTTTGAGTACTTGCGGTAAAGAGAAATCAAAGATTTAAGACTATAGATTTCTTTTAGAAGTGAATTGCACTGTATGTTTTTTCAGGATTTTACAGTTATTTGATAAAATATATTTGGCTTTTAATTTATCTGCAGTGAGAGGAGGCCTCTTAGAGGCTTAGCATCTTTTCTTTCCTTCTCCTGGCACTTCTTGGCATGGTGTTGCATGATGTGGGAGAGCTTACATAGCCCTGTTGTAGCCCTTTGAAATTCAGATCAATGCCAAGGCTGTCTCTATCTTTTAGAGAAATTACCAAAAAAAAAAAACCCCAAACAAACAAAAAACCCAACAAAAAAAAAGGTTATTGGGACTAGGCGGTATGTTCTATTCTATAGTGAACGGTAACGTGATCATTTCCACTTCTTTTGTTTGCATTTGTTTTAGGAGCAACAGAAGGTGATCAGCCTCCACATTCTTCATCATCTTCCTCCTCCTCTTCATCCTCTTCTGGTAGCAGACAAAGACCTGAGATTGGATCTTTTCTTAGAAAAAAGAAAACTAGTGATATTTACTTCGTTACACTTGTGTGGGCCATTGTTATTGTCCAAATCTGGCTAAATTTCTGGATTGTGCAGCTATTGCCGGTGCCTTTTGCAGGTAATAATCCAATTAGAAATGTATATTAAATGATGACTTTGGATAACCCTAGGCTTTGTGTTAAATAAAACAGAAGGAAAGGCTTGTAGGCTTGTATGAGTTTTAAATTAAAACTTTTTCAAGATTTTTTATTTAAGACAAGAATATCATGAACATAAAATGTTCTTAAATGTTATTATATTCTTGATGAATTGTAGCTTCAAATAGGAAGATTGATGAGCACTGCCTATTGCTATGTAGTAGATAGCTCTGTAAAATTGCTTTATCTGTTGACTGTTGTAGTTATCTGTAATAATTTAGTGCCATACTTTTCATTGGAAGAATACTTTTGGTTTAGAGTGCTTTGTTTTTCTTCTCTTGATGTCTTGTCTTTCGTGTTTTTCCACCTGTAGATAAAGAATATTTTAGCTCTTATTCAGTACTGAGGTACAGCTCATGCTAACTTTTAGTTTTGATTAAAAATGGGTTGCTGAGGTTAATTAGCTTTGTTGCTTCACATCGACATGCATCTGTTCTCCTATATGTCAAGCAAGGAATAGTTATGATAACTACCTAAAGAGGTGGTTTGAAAACTGAATGCCACTTTTACCAATACTCTTTTTGGGGGCGAATAGGGGAGACAGAAATTCTGGAAATCTTCATGAGCTACTATGAATCTAAAGGCTTTTCTTCCCATCTCCCTACTGTAAACCAAGTGAGTTTCCCAGTTTGCTTGGATTTTCTCTAAACTTCAGTTAAAACACCAATTTTTAGCATTTTTTAATGCATCTAATGCTTAAATATAGCTATTTTCCCGTGTACCAAGTGTGGTGGATTTGCCCTAGCTAGTGACCGGGTACCCATAGAGCCACTCACTCTTCCCTTGTCTTCCCATGTGGGCTCATCTGTGAGCTGCAGTTCCTTTGGGGAGGAACCAGCTCAGGTGTCTCCTCATCCTTAGGCCACAGTCCCTTCAAGAGGTGTACCTGCTCTGGCATGAGTCATCCATAGGCCATGTCCCTCTGTGTGGTGTGCCTGCTCCACCATGGAGCACTTCTACTCCCCTAGCCTTTTTAGTCCCCCTGCTCGTCCCTCTGTTCCCTCTTCCTCTCTACTCACTTGTTCTGTGTTCCTTTCTCTTCTCCCTCTCTAGTCTTTTCTGCTCTCTCTTAAATATGTTTAAGGAGGGATACCGCACCCGTCCTTGTTGGGCTCAGCTTTGCCCTGTGGTGGGTCCATTGTGTCTGGCACAAGGCAGCCCCTGGGCTCTCCCCATGGAGGCCACCCCAGCGGCCACCCTGCTACCAAAACTTTGCGATTTACACCCAGTACAAAAAGCCGTTATAAACCATCTAGTTGTGCATCTGGAAGTCATGAGCGTGGGGCCATGCTTGCAGGTTCAAAGGGCTGTGAACTCGGAGAGGCGTGGTGAAAGGAACAGCTGCGCGTTTGGCTGTGGCACTGTAGCAGCAGCTGAAGGGTAATGGGATGGTTAGGCATTTAAACAGCTGAATACAGAGGGGTTTGATCTTTGTTTCATTCCAGCGTAGCTGCTACAGAAGAAACTGCCCAGTTTTGGTGTCTGGGCATCATGGGAAGTAGTGACGGCAGTTGGATGTAGCTCGTAAATATGATAAAGGGATTAGAAAATAAATTTTAGACTTACTAGAAGCAGAGCTTACATGACTTAATTTATAGAAAAGTGCAGGAGAGACTTAACCACTGTTTAGAAATCCCTACTTGGGTGGCACAAAAAACGGGTGCAATAGTTTTGCAGTTAGGCAGATAACAACTGGTTTTAAGCTTGAGCCAGACGAATCTAGATCAAAGAGCACATCTCTAACTGAAATGGATGAGTACTCCTGGCGCCAGTCACTAGGTCTGAGTTAGCTACCTGAACAATAAACTCATGCCAAAATAGAAATTAATTTTGAGAATATTTGTGACCTGTTGCCGTAGCAGCAACACTGGGCCATAAAGCGCATTTTCTTGGCATATAACAATATAACTAGATCACCACAAAAATATTATGAAATGGCAGTATAATGATGAACAGAGCCAAATTTAGAACAGTGGATCACATTAAGTGTCAGAAGGTGAATGATGATAACCTGGATTGTTAAAAGTGAGGTAGTAGTAGAAATATTTAGTAGTGGAAAACAGTAAGATTTGTAAAGCAAGTTTCCTTGCAACTTTTCAAGTTTAAGGAGACTAAAAACTTTAAGCACTTCTGAGACCTTAAGGAGAATGCTTCTAATATGTAAAAACCAACCAACCGCAAAACCACCTCTCAGACCTTCAAATAAAAAGATGTTAATTCCACCAATATTGATAGACAGGACTTAGGTGAATTAGCATTTAGATTATTAGAAGTATAATGGTACCATTAATACCATTAGAAGTATATTGATACCATTTTTCCTTGAATACATTTGTACTTCGGTAGAATTAGACGCTCCTTTAAAATGGCTTAATATAGATGTTGGAAAAATTATACCATAAAATGAAAAGATGAAAAAATTACTTTTGAATTCAAAAGCTAAGCAGTAAACCAGGTTGTGGAGCACTTGTAGCGTTTTGTTTAGTGATATGAACTTGGGAATCCTGTTATTGTCTCTTTTAAAGATCTTTCATGTACTTCCTTGCTTGTTCATTTGCATCCTTTCTGTTTTTGTCTTCAGGTCATTTCAGGTCTCTTCCTGGAGATGTTTAGAAATACTTATTATATATACAGCCTTTCTCTTCTTTTGTTCTCCCCTTTCTGATAACAGCCCTCCTTTAGCTTTTTTTCTTTTGCCTCTTTTTAACCTAATATAATTACAGCTGTGTGATTGACTGTAGCACGTCCTGGCTTCACTTTTGTAATGAGTGTACTCTCAGTTATTTTAGAAGATATTATTTAAACACTTACTTGTAAATATTAGCAGATTTTAGATACATTGTTCACCTTGTAAAATGCAAGCTTGCCCTGTTCCGCTGAGCAGCGGTTTGTGTATTTACCTTGAGTTGCATTTTAGCATACAAAACTTGAGCCTGCAGGTTAGGTGTTGGCACTCATGCGGTATTTTCTCCTTTTCTGTATGTTTTCCACATGATCTTTAGTAGAAAGGTTATTGGATTATTGTTTCTTCAAGATAATAAATTCTGTGCTTACCACATGGTGGTGCCAGAGGGTAAGTAAACCAAACGGCAACGAATTGTTGAATGAGCTCTCCCTGAACAAGAACATAAACTATTACACAAGTGGCTTACAGATAGTAGGCTCTTGTGGAACTTTACGTGCCCTGTGGATGTAGAAAGTTAACCTTTTCTGCTGTGTATGTCGTCTTACACATCTCTGAGTAGAAGCATGATGTGAATTTTTGAGGACGAGGGAATTATTGTGGTATTGATGTATGGCAATTAGTAACAAATCTGGTTTGGAGAATAGTCTTCTATAACAAAAAAAGGTTTTTTAAAAGTACTCTTGAATGTAATAATGGGGAATTAAATATCGAATGTTGCTATAAATACGATATAATTGGAGAAGTGCTGCTATTATTTTCACAGATGGTTATTGTACTGTTTAAGTAGAGTTTTTAACACTGACTGTAGTTTTTGATGTACATGTTACGTTCACTGTTACTAAACTTTGGTTTAAAAAAAAAAAAGGGAGAATTTAGGGGAATTACCTGATTCTGTTGCTAATAGTTTCTCTTTGTTTTTCTTTAAAACCGTAGTTTTCAGTATTTGGGAATGCAGTATAGTTTTGTTTGGAGGTTTGTGTATCAGTAGTTCATGGCAGGACTGGGCTGTGAGACCTCTCAATCTGTTATTGCTGCATATAACAATTAAGCCTTTAAGTTGATGTATTTTGTAATTATGTTTTTGTGACTGGTATGTTTGCTTCAATAGTCCAGTAAAATCAGTTGTAATAAAAATCTTTGCTTATAATGTGAATTAATTAACTCTTCTGTTCTGATGTTAAATTTGCCAGTGGCTTTGGAAGATTACTTCTTTTTCTTCTCTTCAGTGATGAGAAGATAGGTAATTTAAGTGGTGTAATATTTTGTTGAATGAAAAAAGAACATGGCAAATATTTTGACTGTTAAATATCTATTAACTTTAAAGAAAAGTTCGTATGTGTCATGCTTTGTTGCTTTTACGTTCCTGATTGTGATGATTCACAAGTTTTGCACGTATACTCAGTGGGGGAGTGCAGTGCCATCGCAGAATTGGAACCATAAGCCTTATGCAAAAGCCTCTGGGCTTTATTTCATGGCAAGTGAACAGACATGAGCTTTTATTTCTGTAACTATAATGCTGGACATTTCTAATGTTGTTAAGGAGCTCTTTATTTTACAGTGGATATGTGTTAGGAGTGTGAGAGAAAAGCTGTTTGTGGTAGCAAAATGCTGATTTTTTGGGGAAAAATATTGTAAATGTTTCTTCTGTTGTCTGTTTTTGGGGAGCAGTATGGATTTTTATGCATGATCATCTTCAAGATAAAAAGCTAGTCTCAAAAGAGTGTTTTTGATGTTTAAAAGCAAGATTAATCAGCTGTATTTCAATTGAAGATTTAAATGAACACTTTTCTGTGAAATTATGCATGATCTGCTGTCAGTATTAAAGGAAAGATACAGCTTTAACAGTATAGTTAAGTATTAACTTAAGAATTGAGGCTGAAGATTTTTTTTATGTGTAAATACACTGTGAAGTTCTGAATGTAGTGTTGTATGTGTAGTCGTCTGCTGTGGTGTTTGTGTAAAGATATGATAAATCCACTGTATTGGAATCATGGAATGGCACCTGCTTATCCCAGGCCTTGCTAAAGTCTGTTAGCTGCATAATCGGGCAGCGTGCAGGCACCTTTCTTCTGCTGCCATCTAAGCTCCATGTGGATATGCATGGCTGTAAGGTGAATCGGGTTCACGACCATCTAAGGAACCTGAAGGTGCAAAGTCTATGATGAGACACATCTGCCGGTCCTAAGGGAACTGGCAGATGAAATTGCTAAGCCATTATCTGTCATATTTGAGAAGTTGTGGCAGTCCAGTGAAGTTCCCACTGACTGGAAAAGGGGAAACATAGCCCCCATTTTTAAAAAAAGGAAAAAAGGAAGACCCAGGGAACTACAGGCCAGTCAGTCTCACCTCTGTGCCCGGCAAGATCATGGAGCAGATCCTCCTGGAAACTATGCTAAGACACATAGGAGGTGATTGGTGACAGCCAACATAGCTTCACCAAGGGCAAATTGTGCCTGATAAATTTGGTGACCTTCTACAACAGCATTACAGCGTTGGTGGATAAGGGAAGAGCAACTGATGTCTTCTTCCTGGACTTGTCCAAAGCATTTGACACTGTTCTGCATGACATTGTTGTCTCTAAATTGGAAAGACACGGATTTGACGAATGAACCACTCAGTGGATAAGGAATTGGCTGGATGATCGCACTCAAAGAGTTGCAGTCAACGACTAGATGTCTAAGTGGAGACCAGTGATGAGTGGCGTTCCCCAGGAATTGATACTGGGGCTGATGCTGTTTAACATCATTGTTGGCGACATGGACACTGGGATCAAGTGCACCCTCAGCAAGTTTGCTGATGACACCAAGCTGTGTGGTGTGGTTGACGTGCTGGATGGAAGGGATGCCATTCGGAGGGACCTTGACAGGCTGGAGAGGTGGGGCTGCATGAAACTCATGAAGTTCAACAAGGCCAAGTGCAAGGTCCTGCACATGGGTCGGGGGAATCCCAAGCACAAATACAGGCTGGGCGGAGAATGGATTGAGAGCAGCCCTGAGGAGAAGGACTTGGGGGTGTTGGTTGATGAAAAGCTTAACATGAGCCGGCAACATGCACTTGCAGCCCAGGATACGGTTGATTTTCTGGGTTGCATCCAAAGAAGTGTGGCCAGCAGGTCAAGAAAGGTGATTCTGCCCCTCTACTCTGCTCTTGTGACACCCCACCTGGAATACTGTATTCAGCTCTGGGGCCCCCAACATAAGTAGGACAGAGAGGTGTTGAAGCGTCTCCAGAAGAGGGCCACGAAGATGATTCAAGGGCTGGAGCACCCCTCCTATGAAGACAAGCTGAGAGAGTTGGAGCTGTTCAGACTGGAGAAGAGAAGGCTCCGGAGTGATCTTATTGCAACCTTCCAGTACTTAAAGGGGGCCTACAGGAAAGCTGGAGAGGGACTTTTTACGAGGATATATACTGATAAGACAAAGGACAATGGCTCTAAACTGAAAGAGGGTAGATTTATATTAGATATAAGGAAGAAATTCTTTACATTGAGGGTGGCGAGGCACTAGAACAGGTTGCCCAGAGAAGTTGTAGATGCCCCATCCCTGGAAGTGTTGAAGGCCAGCTTGGATGAGGCTTTGGGCGACCTGGTGTAGTGGAAGGTGTCCCTGCCCACAGCATGGGGTTTGGAACTAGATGATCTTTGAGATCCCTTCCAACCCTAACCATTGTATGATTCTATGAAAGAGGGTCGACTTAGATTAGATCTAAGGCAGAACTTCTTCATTCTGAGGGTGATGAAGCATTGGAATAGGTTGCTTGGTGAAGTTGTGGCTGCCTCATCCCTGGAAGAGTTGAAGGCCAGGTTGGATGAGGCTTTGAGCCTGCCTGTGACAGGGGTTTGGAACTAGGTGATCTTTAAGGTTCCTTCCCACTCAAACCATTCTATGATTAGTACTAAAACCACTTGAAAATTCTGCAAGTGGTTTCTAATGGGTAATAAAACTCAAGAATCTTTCTCGTTCTTTTTCATAGGTCTTTCAGAATGGAATAGATGTGTAGTCTTGTGGTGCTCCTCTGAAGTCTCTAATACTTGATTTCCTTCTTGTGGTTACAGTTTGGGCACTTAAAAAATTGGTGGTTCATTTTGGAGTTTTGAACTTCATGGCAAACCATTGCAAAAGTTGGTGGCAACTTGTGGAAAATTTTGTGAAGGAACGTCAGGAAGCTCTTGCTCCTCGGCCCATCAGAGGGCTTGGAAGAGTCATGCTAAAGCTTGACAGTAAGGTATTTCTACTTACTTCCTTAAGAAACCTGAAAGTTTGTTGTATTCCCTGTTCACTGTATGCTGAGATGCTTAATTCTACAGTAAACGTCTGTCACTAATGGACATGTCTCTTTTGTAAAACTGTATCTGTTTTATGGTGTATTTTAAACCATGTCTCTTCTGTCACTATTCACATTTAAGTACACATTTAAACTTCATTAAGTGATTACATGCAAAGCTTGATGGAAGTCACTTTTTAAATGTTGAGTTAGCTTTAGAAGTTTCCTTATCTGAGCAAGGCAAAATTCTCATGGTTCAGTCACCTTACCTGATGACAAAGATTTTAGAGTTAAAAGTTAATGAACTTTAATCTGAAGGATGAAACGTTCCTACTTCTGTTGTAAAAACGTAATTTATAAAGCCACCCATTTTATTCTCTAAGTAGAAACTGAGTTAGTTTGAACACATTTGTTTTTGCTGTGTGGAAGTATAGTTGTTGAACACAGTGGCATGGCTTTACAGAAGGGAGACTTCCTGCTGTAAGAGAAGAAACGTGGGATAAGGTATTTGGGAAGTGCCATAAAATAAGGCTTCTGTGCTCCCGTCCCTTCTCCCCACTCAAAACGTGGCCACATTTGCATTGCAAATTGCAGAGTTGGAAAGCTCCCTTAAATTTCTGAAGGCTTCTCCATTCAGAATTGTAAGTTTTGACTTAATCTGATAGATTTTGTTGTTTGTAATAGCTATGCCGGTGTGTAAGAATGTGCTTTTCTGTAACTGCGTTGTTGAAGTATTCTCTGCTTTAGAAAAAGCCATTACCTCAGAGTTTCTGTAACTGAAGAGCTGAACCCTGTAAGTATGTCTGTCAGAGCATCTGTATCTTGGCAAATCCATCTGCAGTTTATAGCTCTGAATTCCTACAGGAAAAGGAAGATCTTAAGCCCAGATCTAATGGGTAAACAGATGTCAAAAGGTCAACAAAAGCATCAAAATGGTTGTGGGAAATAAGTAACAATTTCACAGAGGTGGTTGAGGAAGAATTTGAAGTAGGAAAAGCCTTTCAGACTGGAGCTGTGAACAAGATACGGGGGGTTTCCAAAGGTAGTGGGAAGTATTAACATGTTAGGATAAAAGCTTACTTTAAACAAAGCTTTTAATTAAAAGCTTTATCTTCGTTAAAAGAAGACTCCCTAGACACAGTATCGTATGTGTTCTATTTCATAAGTTGTCAAGTTTAGTATCCTTGTATTGCATAACCATATGATGTAGTATCCTTCCTAATTCCACTAAGTCTTTTCTCCTTAAAGAAGGTAGGCGTTTTGTCGTAACGTGCAGCAGAACTTCCCCCTCTTCAGCTTAAATGTCTTTAAGGTCAGTTTACATTCGTGTTCTTGTCTAAGCAAAAGGACAGTGTTGGTACAACTCATTTCTCCAACTCCCTTCTCCTTCTCGTTTTTTAGATCACAGTCATATTCCTTCTGAGTCTGTGCTGTGTGTTAAAGCAATTCAAGCTCTTCTAGCCTTTATAAGACAGACACTTCATAATCTGCACGATTCTGGTGTCCCTGTTTGTTCTAATTACAGTTCACCTGGCTGTATCATGAGTGGCTGGAGTTATATGTGGTCTTCCCATGCTTGTCACACTAATGCTTTCATATCTTTTAAGTTCTACTGGATATGCTTATTCTGTGCATTGTAGCATCATGGATGCGTCTTGTCTCTGAGAATTTGGGAAACAATCCCATAGGATGTTGGCAGTTGTGATTTTTGTGGGGACAGGGAAAGGAGAGGAATGGAAATTACATCCTTGCAAGTTTTTTTTTAGAAAAGATGAATGAGTTGTATTTAAGTTGGTTTACCAAACATTTTGGCTTCAGTAGATGCTACTGAAGAGGAAGTAAAAATACGCAAGTACAAAATAGGAATTCATGGAGTAAATTGTTAACAGCTTCCCTTTTCTGTGTGCGTGTGAGAAACTAAGATTGAAGGATGGTTTCCTTCGCAATTAAATGTTTATTTTTTCATATTTTCTTTGTACTTTCTTTTCCTGGGAGCTGAAACTGCTTAGTGATTTGTTTGTGTGTTTTGTCTTTGTTTTTTGTATATTGAGTTAATTGAAGGCTGAATCTCAGCATCAGGAGGTGTTTGGGCTCTTCGCTGAGTACAAGAAGTCATTGACAAAGGTCTGTTTGACACAAATATCTAGCTGTACTACCTGGTCTTTCTAAAGTGGTATGCCCTATTAGGAAATAGTTTCAGTTTTGAGTAGAAGGTAGTGAGGACAAGGAAGACATGTTAGAGTGGCCTGTCTTTTTCTCTCAAATGAAGTTCAGAAGGCTAGTGTAGATGGTCTGGAAAATAACCTTTGGGGAGAAGTACTGCTCATGCATACAAACCATTGAGCTTTACTGATCATGTCTGTTTCTTAAATAAAAGCAGTAAGAAAAGAACTGCTCTTCATCTTTCCCACTGCTCATCAACCTCTGATTATCTTAGAAATACAGTCAAATTTGAACTGAAGAGAAGTCCTGATCAAGAAGAAAGAAAGTAGGGCATTGTTTTTCATCTTCTTTATAAACAGTATGTCAAGTTGTGCCTGTATGTGCAGGCCTGGTTAAATATGGACTAAGATGTCCTTACTGTATTGTTTAATCCCTGGTGATGCATTTGCCCCATGGAGCCAACAGATGCTGCAGTTCAGATACGAGAGACTTCCTGGAGAAAAGAGTAGGGAGGTTTCTGTTGTCATCCATCAAGACATCTTAAAACTTCATAGATACGGTGTCATGCATGTTCTCATCAGCAGTCAAGAACTAATAATAATTTGCTTCACTGATAATTTTTTCTTTTAAAGGCTACAAAAAGTTGTCTTTCAATGTGGTGACTATAGTCTTATTTTGATTAGAGTTTGTGAGGGGGTTAAGCAACATAGGCAGTTGCTCAATTGCATGCACTAGACTTTTATTAATTAGAATGCGCTAGTATTTTGCATGCATGCTTTCTGGTAGACTTCAGTGAATCGTGTAGTTATATGCTTTTTCTAGCTATAGCGTGCTAGGATTTTATATATGGAAGACTAATAGATTGTTTGAACTTTGGGAAAAGTGAAGGTTGGTTTTTCTGGTACCAAGTTTAGCATGTAGTTACAACATGCACAGAAAAAAAGCGGAATCTCTACAAGTGTATACATTATTTGGAGAAATACTTGCATAGACATGTAAGATCTTTTATAAACAGTTTTCCAATAAAATACTGAAGAAGTGGCAGTAGCCTTATTAATTTTGGATGACTTGAAGATTAGAAGTAAGCCATTGCCTATTTTTAAATGTAGATTGGTTACGTTTGTAGAACTACTTAAACATCAGTATTGGTAAGAGAGTAGGAGGCAGGTAGAGCCTTTCAGATTTTGTCTTAAGCATTAATAAAACAATGATTGTTATTTCTGACATATAATATTATTTCCTAGTTATTGTATTTGTCATCCAATTCCAGGAGGCTGAAATAATAGAAAAAATACCGAAGGCCTCCTTTCACATTCTGCTAAAATCTCAGGCTAGCAGTAGAGCTCTAGCTTTTGTTGTAGTGGAGTTGCAAAGTGGAGAAATACAGCCATGAGATCTAAGTTTTTTTCCAAAATGAACCTAAGATATAATGGATTTTAATATGCAAAAGTAAAGGTAAAGTAAAAGTATGTTGTTGAATCAGGAGACAACTTAACCTTTTTTCACGAACAAATTTTTCAATAGGTGAAAAGGTAAAATAAAAACAAATTCTACAGCATCAGTTTTGGGCTTTTGAAGCTTTGTCATTGCTTTCCATTACTGTGATTCTTTCCATGAGTACTAGAAGCTAGTAAAACTGAGTGCTTTGTGATGTATTTCATTGTCATGTTTCCTAATGCTCATGTTTCTTTGTAAATCTGCTTCTTGCTTCTGATATAACTTAATTAGCATTCTGAGATTTTATTTTATTTTTTTATTTGAAATGTTCTTACATTTTGTTTTCATTAGGAGCTAATATAATTTCTGGCAACTGGTGAAAAAACTAGATTTATTGAGCATTCAATGATATTGTTTTCAGGGAGAAACAAACTTCACTTAACTTGATCTTAACCTCTCACACAGAGGAATAATAACATTAGAAATTTTCACAGTTGTAATTATGTTGCTAACTGATTACTAATGGCTAGAATTAAGACTATAGTCCTACGTAAACTAGGTCCTAAAATGAGTATACTTGAGCAATATGGATGAGAATTAGTAAGGAAGAACAACAGTAGTACAGAAGGAGAGATTGACTGTTGAGAAGTGCAAAGAGCCTTCTGCACAACCAGTAAAATTACATGGAACTCATACATTTATTTGATATACAATTTGCTGTTGTGTGTGTATCAGATTTAATTATGTATTTGATGTTGTGCCATTGAATATGAATGTTGTAATATGAATGTGGTACTAAAAAACCATACAAAATTTATTTAACAGTAGTTGTCGTATTAGGAGGATTTTGAAATACATGTGAAACTACCTGAATGGGAGTATTAATGCAATAAACAAGTATGTCGTGTTAAGTTTTGATGTTTCAGTAAAGTGCCCTTCTCAGAGAACTTTTAGAATTCCTTCTCTGAAATCTGAAATGTTAGCTCTCAGTATAATTCAGCTGGAATTACCCAGATTATGCTGATAGCTGTTACTATCATTGAAGTTGTTCTTAACTGTTATATCCCTCTTTGTTTTGGAAAGTGCATGATAATAGTCAGATCTAGGTTCTTGCATTAGAAGTTACACTCTCTTCTTCCTGTTGCAATTTACCTTTGTGTCTGGAACAAGTTCATTTTCATTCTGTGGATGACTGCCTGCCTCATTGCTTTTTTCCTCTCTATGACTGCATTTTTCAATAATTTTCCACTGTGTTCTTGTCTTTTTTTTCCCTTTTCTTCCCTCTTCCCCTGCCACTGACAAGCTGTGGCACTGGCTTAATAAGAAGGTAAATAAACAGAAAAATTGTGATTCCAACTAATGGATTCTGTGGTTTTGGGGAGGGTTTTTTTTCAGCATGAACACTCTTTAACATGCCTTGCTTCTCAGTTTTCTCTCCCAAGTGTCTCTCCTCCAGCTCTTGGTATAAGCTACTGAAGGTCATATAATTCTACCTGATCTCTTGTCTTCTACTAAAATGAATGCACACAGCTAAATGTTTTGTACAGCAGAGTATTGCATTAGCCTTTCAAGCGGTAGTTTGATTTAGTGGCACTTTTATTTAAGAGCACTTGATCTCTACCTGGACCCCGCTTGTATGCATAACAAACCCAGTTCTTTCCTGACTAGAGAGCTGTTCTCCACCCAGAGAAAGCATCAGTTCACTGAATTAACACGGGAGTGGTGAGGGTGAAGCATGGTTGTAAAGCCACAAATGTGTAAGTGCTTGCAAATAGTGCCTTGCCTGACTTCAGTCAGTGCTGTTAATCTTTTACTTTTGAAGTGTCCACCTGGCCTGTATACTCAGTGGTACTCAGTGTAGCAGGGGTGAAATGAGAATATTCATGGTCTCAGAACTGCTGAATCTAAAGACAGTCTTAAGGGAAGTGAGGGCTAGTAAAAAAAAAATAAATTGTAATTAAAGCAGTTGGTATAGCTTTCGTGTGGCTTTTAAAAGCGTGTGATGTGTTTTACAAGAAATGTACTCTTCAGTTCCCATGGTTGTCTTAGTCAACCAGAGTTAATGATTGTTCTGTGGGGAACTGTCATCCCAAGAGAAGTTAAAACTGACTCAGTCCATGTTTTGCCTCATGTGTGACTGAAATCTGGACAACTCCTCAATATAGTGGTATCTCTCTGAGACTTGGGCAGTGTCATTGCTTCTGACAAGCACAGAACTGGAGAGGGATCCTGTAGCATGTATGTGTACATCTGCACGACCTCAGAGTTTTAAAGGTGAAAATCTAGTATGTGATGAAACATATGAAACCCAAGTAATTAAGTGAAAGAGAAAAAAATCAAATACTGTATCTAGAAGTGAGTTATGCTTCCAGCAGCAGCTTTTATCCTCACTTACCACTTCAGTATTAGTGGTGACAGAATGGTTACTATGGTTTTATAAACATATAAACAACCTATCCTTTTCATTCCATAGCTATTACAACAGAAACCATAGATCTGTCTTTTGAAAGACACCTGAAGTACTGTTGTTCTCGATGCTTTTGAAAACAAGTGGAACAGAGTAGAGCACGCAGGCCATGGGGATGCTGGCACAGCTCTCTAAAAGGTTCTTATATACAACAAAATGGGGCTGCACAGCTGGTATCTGCTGTGGGTGGCAGACGGGGAATAATCCTGCATCTAGTTTCCAGACTCAGCATCTATCATGAATTTAGAAAGTTTGATCGTCAGTATTTAATCAGTGAACTCAGGGTTATATGATGAGGTCTTTGTGTGTTTCTGAACAAGAGTAGAGTTGCTTGCTTTATGGTTCAGTTACAATTGTCCAGTAAGAGGGAAAATTTTGAATGTTCTTTCACCCTCGAGTATAGTTTGGTTGTCTTAAAATTACATCTTATTTCCTGACTTTGAAATGTTTGTGTATTATGAGTGACTTAAAATTAGTAAATATGTGCGACCATAACCCTTTATAAAAAAATTTTTATTAGGTATTGGTTTGTTAGCACAGTTTAGGTGATGGGCTGAGTTCAGTGAGCCACAGGTGAAAGTTTAGTCTCAACTACTTTTTTTCTGGCTCTAAGTTTGTAATTTGCTTGTTTGAAAATTCATGTGTGTAGATCAATTTCTTCCTTAATATTGATACATTGCAAAAATAATTTCACTGTATTAGCTTTGAACTCTGAAATGTTTGGATTTTATTTTAAGTTTAGAGATTTGCATTAGGAAGAACCTTGTGGATATAGTTCAAGTGTTTTGGGTTTTTTTTGGTTTTTTTTTAGTTCCTAGGAACTATTTTTGAAAACTACTGTTTTACTTTATGGTTTCGTAGTGCTGACTCTTGTGCATAAGCAAGTACAATAATATTATTATCAAGATTTTTGAAAAAAAAAAAAGGAAACAACTGTGCAAACTGTATCAGGTTCTTGCACGTTTGCTTTGTTGGGTGGTTTTTTTCTTTTTTGTTTTTAATAATTACATTAAAAAAAAAAAATATACTCTACCAGAGGCAAAGAAAGGAGATTTGTAATATAGAACGCTGGATGCAGTTAAAAGGTTGCTTCCTTTACGCCTTTCTCCTTTTTGCCTGTCTTTGAAGGGAAGTAGTTGTGAGAACACCAAGATAAATTTCTGATAATGCACCAATAAACTAAAAATGCATCACCTAGAGATGACAGAGTTTGAAATGATGGTTGATGATGGCTGCTAGTGATAAACCTTTATTTTATGGCCCAAAATATAGAATAGGTTCAATTGGGCTAGCATGATTTGTTCTTTATAACATTGTCTGTGGCAACAGTGTTAAGAAAGAATTGCTAAATTCTGCTGTTGCTGTTAGAGGGATGCTGGTATGAGTAGACTTGAGACCTCATACAGACTGTTCTCTATCTTCTCTGACTTAACTAGTCATTGGACTCATTTCAACATAACTGTGATATGTCCTGATTACAGGCTTCCCCTTATTCTCGTCAGATGATATGAGTAAGATGGTATTCTCAAATATTAACTGAACTAAAAGGGAAAGGTCAACAAGTTTAAGAAATATCTTGAAAAAAGTTCTGATAGTGAAGCTGTTTAAAGAAAAAAAGATATTCCTTTTTGATAATTTCATGTAGATTGAATTGAAAATGGAGTAGATGTACAGGTATGCTTCATTGTGTGGATAATGCACTAGATAAAACATACTAGAAAATATAGTGTTCTCATGGCTGTGCAGTGTGAAACATATGAAAATATGGATTCATAAATGATGTGTCTTACTGCATACATAACGTGGAAAACCTACCTAGATAGCAAGATTCCTGATTGTTAAGCGTGAGCTGTAGTTCTGTTACAACTCAGTGTAATATGGTGTGTCTCATCACTTAGAAGTTGAAAGCAGGGAGAAGAACTTCCAAATTTTTGAGAAGCGTTTTAACAGAATGCAGCTCAGCTTAAAAACTTTTTTGCTACAGTGAGCTAAATTTAAAAGAAATTAAGAAAAAAAAAAAAGGTGGATACTTTTCCCTTCAAAACTGTGACAATTAAGGATAGGTGTTTTTTTTGTGGACAGTCTATCACAAATCAGTAACGTTTCAGTTTGATGTTACAAGTGTGACCTTCTGTAGCTTAGGAGCCTGGCTTTCCTTTACCTTTGCCTAATTTTGGATGTCGTGGCAGCATCAGCTTCCCGCTGTTGACTAACCTTTAGATTAGAAACTTGGAACTGAATTTAAAACTTCATCACCTCTGGCTAATGACTAGTGTTCAGTCAGTGTATGTTTGTCTTTGTGTGCATGCCCATGGCGTACAGGAAGGATGTAAAGGGGAGTCTGACAGGGTTGGGGTAAGAACGAAGTCTGGACCTGGTTCAGTGGTAAGTACAAGCATACAGGGTTTTGAGTCTAGCTTACCTGCAGTAACAAAGCACCTATGCATTGTTAAGCATGAGCGTGCAAAGGTGAGTGCTTCCTAAGGAAGTATTGTGGGGAAATGTAGAGGGAGGAAGGAAGGGGGCTTTCAGAGCAACCAAATTAAAGGAGGGGGAGTAACTATGGCCCTAAATGAATGTTGTGCATCTGCTTTTGCTTCTATAATACTCAATCCTATTCTGTGATTTCTGCATACCAGTTGTATAACTTGGATCTCATTAAGACTGTGGTGAGAGTTGTAACTGCAGTACCTGTAGGCATACCAGAGTTGGCTTTCATCTAGCTTGCTGGGACTACCTGCCCAAGTAGATAAACAAGCTGGGCTTGGATGCCTGAGGCTGCTGCCTGTTCTGGTATGACATCGGTGCTGCCATTACTTTACTAACTAGATTAAAGGTAATTCAGGCTTTACATGTGCTGCAGCTGCACCTCAATGGCAGTGTAGGCATACTCCAAGTGAGGAGTGTCGAGACAAGATCCCCTGTTGGTCATGTTGTGGTTCAGGGACAGTCCTCATCCTGACCTTTTGGAGCTTGATCTTCCAGTAGTCGTTACCATGGTGAAACACCTAAAACATTCACCTTCAGCTGCACTGAGATTTCATCTGTTGGATACCACTCACACAATCATTGAGGATAGCATTTTTTAAAATTTCTGACAGTACCTCCAATTTCTTGGATCCATTGAGTCTGATTAAGGTGCTGTATGTAAGACTAACTAGCGGATTTCTTTTATCTCTTAACTTAGAAAGTAAATAGCAATTAGTTTGAACTTCATTAACAAAGAAATAACAAAGGTAACTTTAGTTTTCAATAGCTTCATTTTGAAGCTCATGCTATAAAATTTACATCCCCTGGCCATCCAGTGTTTTTCAGTGGCATTTTTATTTTCGACCTTTAAAACAGATTTTTATTTCTTGCTTCTCTTACGTAATCCTTAGATGTATGTGAGGCTTGGAAGGGCACAGCAAATCCTGCATGGAGTCTTATTTCCAAAGAGGTAACAGCCCCATGTAGAGGCTACTCAAAGTTTTTCAGAAAGCTGCAGTACTGCTGCAGGCAGGTGACCTCGCTCTAGCACCGGCAAGGCATCTCTGATGGCCAAAACGTTTCAGCAATGCTGAAAAATACGAAAAATTTCTTAGACAAAAGATGCTTCAAATTCTTTCAGGTTCTCCGAATTCCTTTCTGCAGGTAATAATATAGTGCAGATTTTGTTACAAAAACTTGCTGGCTCAACACTTGTTTCTTTTAAAAGGATTTTGCTTTCTTCCAGTTTTCTTCATCATCTTCAACAACGGTTCTAAAATGCTGAATATAATCCTTGTGTTAATTTAGATCAAACAAGGAGCTGGCTGTAAAAGAACTTGAAGTTTAAAAATTATTGCTTAGTGTACAGTGTTCAGATGGTAGAGGATGAGCACCAAAAAAAAAAAATATTTACTTTTTTTTTTTTTTCCCTAATAGAAGGTATAACTTCACTGTTTACCAATTCAATCATCACACAGCAGTCTGTAGAAGATAATTCTTCCAGGGCCAATTTTCATGTGTAGAGATAGGGTAAATAATGAAGAAAGAACTAATGTAAACCATGAGCAAGCGTATTAGTAGTTTTGTAAGATCTCTAATTAAAAAGTTACCGGCCTAACCACTGAATGTATAGCTTGTAATCACTTGGAAATGCTTTCATCTACTGCATATTGGCTTTGACCTCAGTTCTCTTAAAGCACAAATTTTACAGCTGTACTTCTGCTGCTTTTTCCTGCAGTAATGCCAGATGGAGTAGAAACAGCTTTGGTATTTGAACCATAGAAGCTAGAAAAATTTATTTGGTCATACTTGCATGGGCTTTCACAGCTTTTTATGTGAACAGTCTATTTGTGTATGAGACGCAGATCAGCTTGCACTATTCTGGAGCACTCTGCGTAGTCGCGTGAGCAGTTTTGTTGTCTTGAATGACATTATCAGAATTTCTCTAATCCTAAGTGGTATCATTTGTTTGTGGACGTGTATAGAATGGGCCTTTCCATAAAGTGACAGAACGACTTGCACGCCTGTTTCCTGTATCAGTAGGTTTAGTTGATGCATATTTAATGCTGAGCATCCTTTCGAGATTGAAAGTGGATAGAAATAGTGCTGAATAATTGGCGTGATGTTCAATTATGTAGAAAACCTCCAGCCTCATTTCAGTTCAGAAGCTGGTGAGCAGCTTTAAAAATTTGATTACTTGCAGAAATACCTCATTTGTTGTTTAGATGGCTATTAGCTATTCAAATTTTAAAGTCATCGTTGTAGTTTACCCTATAGCTTGATAGTGTTTTCCAAGTCCTGTGTGGATAGTCTCTGTAAGTTTCCAAGTTGCTGAAGGACGAGAAACAAAGACAAGTATCTAGGTTCATAGCTGACATGAGTGATAGCTTCTTTAGGTCTAGTAAGTAAATGTTGAATTATTGCTTGCTTTGCAGACAGCTTGCTGTGTCTTGTAGTAACGTGTAAATGTTGTTTGCAAAATCACGTGTCATACCATGACCTTAATCATGCTAACATCGCTTGTTAATTGTTCATCTCCAAGCTTGGGCATAAATGCTGTTTGATTAGAGCCTGATTTTTGCACTCTGATTGTAAGTAAAGATAACAATACTGTCATATAGCATTGCTTTCATTAAAGATTGATTTATATGCTATGACTCGTTTTTTCTTTTTTCTGCACAGATGATCGTGTGGTTGGAGAAAATGCTAGATAAAATAATCAGCATTTTCATAATATTTTTGCTAGTGATAGGAACCCTTCTACTAGCCCTGCTCCTTACTGCAAAGGTACAGTGCACTAAGGAATGTAATATAGAACTCATTTTAAATGTTGAATGAGAGTTATTGATATTTATGCAAAATTGTGTAGCTTAAATAATTTCAATATTTTTTAAAAAAATTTAGCAACTAAATGCTTTGTAGTGGAACTTGTTACCATTCCAAGATTTCTTATATCTAAATATCCATATATTTATTTGTATTTATATGTTTGTTTACATATATGATAAAACTAGTATATAGACATTTGGAAGTAAGAAATTTATTCTAGTAAAAGAATTACTAGATTATATGTTGCAGAAGCAGATTTGTTTCACATCCTGTTGCACTTTTCTTGTCAACAGCAGAGCCACTTAGAATTTTTCCTTTTTAATTTACCTTGTATCAGAAACATATTTGCAAAATGCTTAAGGTGTATTTGTCAGTTTGTTCATGTAATTGCCTGTAATAACCTCATGGTATCCTGTTCTGAGTTTAAATGTGCTGAGATTCGTGATCAGATGTTCTTGGAATTTAGGTTTGTGGTTGGGGTTTTTTTTTGCTCACCAGAAGAGGTCACTCATGTACTTTTTTTTCCCTGTTTTTTTATTTTATTTTTTTTTAATGGAGCTGTGTTCATGCTTGAAACAGTCAATGGAGATTAAATGTTTGGCTTGAATACAGTTACAGAAAAAAAATCAATGGTTTCTGATGTCAATCTCCTTTTCCAAAATGTAGGCTTATATAATGTTCAGTGCTTAAAATTGAAACCTTTAAAATTTGTGCAAACATTCCTGTCCAAAGCTTCCTTATATTCATAAAAGGAACATTAAGATATTTATAAAAGGTGTGTTTTGTCATTCGTAACTGAAGAACTAATTTGATGAGGCACTTCATAGCTCTAACATGACCAACCTTGCTGAACACTCATTAATTTTGACACTTCTTTGATTTATGGTTTAAAAAGGTGTATCTGAAACTGTGCTTTGTGTTTTAGTATTTCCCTTGACAGCACTGCTGCATTGTTAGAATTTTTTCCACTGATGAGATAAGGTTTAAATTTCCATTTGCTATTACTAGTCACATTGCGTGTGACCAAAATTGTCGGGACAGACTGATGATTATGGTGTTGACTGCTTTTTTGAGTTAATGGCTCTTCATTCTTTGTAATGAGTTGTGTGCATTGGAAGAAATATTTTTTAAATGTACAGACTGGTCACCCCACTCTCCCCCTCAAAAAAAAAAAGAAAAAAAGACACCTCTCTGAATATAGGAAGAGTTCTAGTTTGCGTTACATAACATTTCTCCTCTCTATATTTAATTTAGGTACATCAAGAGAGCGTTCACATGATTCAAGTCACAAGCAGCTTGATCAATGAGACAGTAGCCAGTCACCCAGAATGGGCAAAGTAAGAATGCTGAAGTTAAGCGAATAGTATAGGGTGGATGAACAAGCGTCCAGGTGCTCTTATGCATAGTTTTTAATGTAAAAAAAAAATCCCCTAGATGAACAGAAATAGGGGGGACTGTTGCAGACAGATGTAAAAGCTAAACTCTCAGGCAGCAGTCGTGTTTATGCATTATTACTCTGGAGAATTGTCAGTGTGGTATCTCATTTGAGCACTGGTTGGACTTTGGTGGAGAAGGACAGCTGTATAAACTTCTCTAGTTACAGTTTTGGAGAACAACTTGCGTAGTGCAAAGAATAAAGAGGTCAATATTCTTTTCCCTTTTACCTGTGAAAGAAAAGTGATGGCAAAGATTGCGCTCTGTGAAAGATTGCGAGATGAGAGCTGAATTGTTTTTTTCACTGTGGAGAGCTGGCTGCAGAATGCCTTTGAGGGAATGAATTGAAGAAAATGTTTTTGGAATGAACTGAAAAAGAGTTTGAAGGT